TTTCCACATATACGCGGTGAGTGTCCAGCTCGAGAAGCTATTTCTTTAGATTTGCCCCAACCGCCACCCTGCCGGTTTTAGCTCATAAATTCATACAAATTACCAGGCCAGAATATAATTTACATTGCTGGAATTCTTACAATATGATGATCATTTTGAATATAAACATCATAGATTTTGCATTAGACATACAAATTTTAGATATAATGTTTATTCTGAGTAAATATGTTATTTTTTATGCAAAATATATGACATTTGTATTCAAAATATTCCTGGTCTTACAAGGAATCCAGCAATGTCAATTATATTATCCTAACTTTAGTTTGAGGTATTATTTATTACTAAAAAGTTAAATATTCTGGTTTTCCCACACATCTCCTTGGGACGGTTGGTGGGGGGTGGGGGGGAGGGAGGGACCGACCGACCATCTGTTACCCTGTGAAGAATATATTTTTTTTTATTAACTGAAGATATTTGTTTTAGCTCATAAAATTCATACAAATTACCCGGTCAGAATATAATTTACATTGCTGGAATTCTTATAATTTGATGATCATTTTGAATATAAACATCATAGATTTTGCATTAGACATACAAATTTTAGATAAAATGTTTACTCTGAGTAGATATGTTCTCTTTTGTGCAAAATATATGACATTTATATTCAAAATATTCCTGGTCTTACAAGGAATCCAGCAATGTCAATTATATTATCCTAACTTTAATCTGAGGTATTATTTAATACAAAATGTTAAAATTTATTTTTTTCACCCAACCTTTCTCTTGAAGGGAGGATTGGTGGGGGGGTGGGGGGAGGGTTGGGACTGACCGCGCGGTTGGAAGAGGGGGGGAGGCAAGGTGGGGTACTTTGATTGACAGATAGTGTCGTGAAGAATATTTTTTTTTTTATTAACTGAAGATATTTGTTTTAGCTCATAAAATGCATACAAATTACCCGGCCAGAATATAATTTACATTGCTGGAATTCTTACAATTTGGTGATCATTTTGAATATAAACATCATATATTTTGCATTAGACATACAAATTTTAGATAAAATGTTTTCTCTGAGTAAATATGTTATTCTTTTGTGCAAAATATATGACATTTATATTCAAAATATTCCCTATTATATGAATCCAGCAATGTCAATTGTATTATCCTAACTTTAGTTTGAGGTATTATTTATTAAAAATTTAGTGGTTTTCCCCCAAAAATTTCTCAGAGAGGGAAGAGCCAGCAGTGTAGTGTGAGAAGAGGGGGAGGGAGTTGAGTCCATTATTTGAATGGACATTAACTTGGCGACTGTATTTCTCTATTTCTCTTAAGTATTAATTGTGTGCATGTACCATCATAAAATTAAGATGTTATTTTTACTACAACATAGTTATGTGTCGTCAAAAAGTGGAGTTTGGGGGTCTGGCCGGTTTCTATTGGAATTAATCCCATATGTTCTGTTGTTCACTTAACGCGGTACCCTCTGGGTTTTATTGACCGCGTTAAGTGGGGTACAACTGTATATAAAAAAAAAAAAAATTTTTTTTAGGAGTTCGGGATTGACGGTTAATTCGAAAGTCAGTTAATCGAGGGTCGATTTATCGAGGTTTTACTGTATATAGTATATAAAGACTTAGGCTATGATTTAGTGGGATTTTAAACATTGTTCTGTAAGTATAGTATGCACATAGCATGTGTTCCGACTTATGTACAAATCCGACTGAAGAACATCCTCAGAAAATAGTCACTACAGAAAACCCATATGATATATTTGGAACTTCTCCATTGATAAACTTCTGATCATTAAAAAACTCAAGATTTTGTATTATATTTTAGCCAAGTTCATTCAACAAAATGAACAATTAAAAGCAGATGAGATCTATGGTTACTTATTTTGAAAGTGAATGAAGTTAGTGAGAGACAAATCTGCCAAAACATCATTCAGACAAGAATACTGTACAAATACAGTACAGGAAAGCCTCCGATAATGACGGTTCTACAAACAACAATTCATATTTAAGACCCTGGTTAGGATCCAATTCAATTTACACCATTATTTTCTTTGCATTTACGACAAAAATAGAAAGAAATTATAAAATAAAATTACATTCTCATATAAATAATAACTAAATCCGGTATGTATTTAAGAAAAAAAAATCAGGCCTTGCGCACGGAGGCCGCCAGGCTTGTGAGTGGTGACGCCAGCATCACAAGTATAAACAGTCGCAGCAGGCGAGCCCTTTGTTTTCATGCATCTGAACAGGAAAAGAAGAAAAACTTTCTTAGGTCTCTTATGGCATTTTTGCGTCACTATTCAACATGAACAAGAGAGCAAGTGATGGTAGTGCTGGTTCAAAAGCTAAAAGAAAGTGTATAAGCTTAACTAAGAAACTAGATGTGTTAAAACGACACGAAAAGGGTGACAGGTCTGTGGATATTATATGGAGCAAGCAATGAACATATTTTCTGAAGTGGATTCATTAACAGAACAAAGCATTAAAATTAACAAGGATGTGAAAAATGCATATGACTTCTACATAAAGATGTATAAGGAGAAAAGAAAGCAGCTGTGCAAGGTTCTTTCGACAGCTTTATTATTCAAAGGCCTAAACCATCAACTTCAGCTACACCATCAAATTCAGCTTTAGCTGCAGCTTCAGCAACAACTACAGTTTCAGCAACAGCTTCAGCAACAGCTATGGCATCTTTATGGAAAGCTACAGCTTCAGCCAGAGATGAACATGATGACTTCGTCATCTGAGTAAAAACTCACACAACATTCATTGGCTGTCCTTATGTTTTAGACTTTACCACTATTGGTGAGTACAATTTTTGTTTTACATTCGTAAATATCATTTAAAAGATATATGAACAGTTGTAAGTGTTGCTTTCATATTCTTATGTAGAGAAATGACAATATGTTTTCAAATGTATGCACTTACATACGTTGGCGTTGCGCAATCCGTCTCACATTTTTCTTTGCTATTAATGGTTAGCTACTTCTATTGTTCCATTTATTAACATAAAGTAACATTAATTATACATATTAATTTTCTTTACATTAATTTTGCTACAGCTACAACCAGGGTCTTATTTTCTTCAGTTTCATATGTAGAACCCTCGACGGGTTTAAACACTCACAAAAACAATGCCGTCTTGTCTCCTCTTGTGTGCTTTAATATTCTACGTATTATTAATGAATTGTATTGTTCATTTCGCATATATAAAGATTAATTTAATCAATTACATATTCAGTAATAAACAATAATGAATCTTTAGTATATATTTTTAATAAGATAAATGACGCCATTTCCTTGAGTGCGCACGTACTGTATATACGTTGGCATTCCACGATCAGTCTCTCATTTTTTTTGTTTACCATCAGCGGTTACTTCTACTGTACATTAAATAACATTAATTAAAACATACTTATTTGTCTACATTAATTTTACTACAGCAACAACCAGGGTCTTATTTTCTTCAGTTTCAGATGGATAACTGACATTATGGGTGTAAACACTGATAACAACAATGGCGTCCCATCTCCTCTTGTGTGACCATATTATTATTACAATTGATTTATATTGTATAAGGAGCATTCATAAACATTATTTAAAGAATATAGTTTGCATTTTTCATTAATTTTATTGTTGGGTGGAAAAGAGGGTAAAATGCCACACAAAAGATATGAAAAGGTCAGACTTTGGAATGCATCTCATTATTATTGCTTTATTTTAATGGTAATTATTGATTCACCTTACACTGAAATATTGAATAACACATTACCGTCATTATTCGAGACTTTACTGTACTGTACATAGAGAGAAGACAGGGACTACCACGTTAATATTTAAAAAGTTTAATAAATCTGCATTTCACCGAGCTGGCAAAATCTTTGTCCCTTCCTATAGTCCCATTAATATTTGTACTCAACATTAAATATGCTTAACAATAATTCATACTGACCTGTTAGTGTGTTCAATTTGTACTCAACATTAAATATGCTTAACAATAACTCATACTGACCTGTTAGTGTGTTCAATTTGTACTCAACATTAAATATGCTTAACAATAATTCATACTGACCTGTTAGTGTGTTCAATTTGTACTCAACATTAAATATGCTTAACAATAATTCATACTGACCTGTTAGTGTGTTCAATTTGTACTCAACATTAAATATGCTTAACAATAACTCATACTGACCTGTTAGTGTGTTCAATTTGTACTCAACATTAAATATGCTTAACAATAATTCATACTGACCTGTTAGTGTGTTCAATTTGTACTCAACATTAAATATGCTTAACAATAATTCATACTGACCTGTTAGTGTGTTCAATTTGTACTCAACATTAAATATGCTTAACAATAATTCATACTGACCTGTTAGTGTGTTCAATCTCTATAAATCCACAAATGCTACACATCTACCATATATTGTTTAAGTCTTTCAACAAACTTTCCAGTTTGATTGAGCCACATAGTGTTTACTGAAAGACACAAATTTCTCTTTCCCTCTTTTATCTTATATCAGGCACTTTCTCTTCATTTATCAAGATTCAGTATGATGGCTGTTGCACTTAAAAGCACAGTGGCACATGCAACAACTTGGCCACTGCATATCTTCACACATTGTACTGTGGAAACCAATGTTAACCCTCAATATACACATCAAAGTACTGTAACCTTCCTCCTGCTTCACTATAAAAATAAAACCAATAGTGATCACAGAAAATTTGACCCTAAAATAAGTTAAGTTAAAAAAAAAAGCAAATGAGCATTAATAGATGAGGCAAAATAAATAATAAATGCAATAAGTATACAGCTGATAAATTTCAGAGTCCATTTACAGAAAGTAGTGTGAGATTATCTAATCAATAACCTACAATATGCTCTGCAACTTTAACCTTCTTAAGCTTACCATAGCCAGCATATCAAGTACCATACATATCATTTCCTTTTTGTATGACTAAGTTAGTTAAGCAAAGTAACACACTTACCCTTTGCCAAGAGGAAATCAGTAAAAGTTTTAGACTTGGGAAAAGTTGCTCCTTCAGGCATCATAGGACCAAACAGAGGGACATCTCTGAATCTGCTCACAGTAACTCTGCAAATTTCAACATATTTGTTCTATTATTTCATTGAAAATTATCATATCATTACAGGCCAGGGATAATCCAAACTTATGCCAGGGAAAATTTATTACTATGATACTAAAGATAATTATCTTTCTTAAACAATACTATTAAAGTGTGTTAGAGATAATGAAAGGTTCTAGTTAAGAAACAGAGCAGGAAGTCAGGAGTAGTGACTGCTTTAGTGGAGATACAGTAATATCTCCGCTAGCCGAAATCCCTCTTAATCAGAACTCTCCAATAGCTGGAATTTAAATTTTTTAGGAAAATCATTCCCAAAGCCAGATTTTTCCAGAAAATTTCAGCTTTGGGAATGGTTTTCCAAGGGGCACATTTTCTAGAAAATTCCAAGAAAATTTTTTCCAGTAGTACCTGGAAAATTCCAGGGATGGGGGATGTTTTTTCCGGGTTTGAGAGACGAAAATCAAGCGCATTTTCCGGAAATTCTGAAAAAAAGTTTGGGGTACCCAGAAAATTCCGGGGATGGGGGATTTCTTTCAGGCTTGGGGAGATGATGCAATGAGCAATTTCTGGAACTTCAGAGAAAATTTTCCCAATACAATACAGTGGTCCCTCGGTGAGCGCCTCGGTTAATGAGATTTCGGTTAACGAGTTACCTTCCATAAGATTCTTAACTTTGGTTAACGAGCAATCCCTCGATTAACGAATTTCTTACAAGCCGACCTGAACATGTTTTCGCTTGCATTTGGCGGTCCACCAGCTGTAGTATTAGTCCGCCAATACAGTAATCGGTTCTAGGGCTTAAATTCCTTATTCATTTTAGCAAATATCAAGAAGTTTAACTATTCAATAATTTTAAAAGTTTAATAATAAATTGTTTAGTCATTTTAACAATTATTGAACATAATTGAAGGTAATGAAACTAGTTTTATGCACGCCATCCAGCCTCTCAACACACCATACAGGCGTCAGTCTTTGTGTCTTTTCAGTGGAGGTAACATCTTGCTTGAGACTCTCTTCAACTAAATGCTTTTTTTCTGTGTTTGCAAACAAATTATTGGTCATTTTGAAATTTATTTTTCATGTTGACAATATATAATGCAGTGCAGTGTTGATTTAAAGAAAATAATCTTGAATTACACCAAGAGAACTAAAATTTTAAGGGTGAAATGGCACCATGGGGTGACTTCTCTTCCACCCCAATGCCTTCTCTTCTCCCTTCTCCTCCACCCCCATTCTAATTCCCATCATCATCATCATCACCCAGGAGCCTTCTACATACACACCTCAAAGTAAGTGCATTTTTCTACCCTTTTTGTTGAATTTAGGCAATTTTCGGTGAGCTGGAACCAATTACCCTAAAACCCATTGAAACAATGGTTTCGGTTAATGAGTTTTTCGATTAACAAGCAACCTTCTAGAACGGATTGTGCTCGTTAACCGAGGGAACCACTGTACCAAGAAAGTTCCAAAAAATTACGGGAATGAGGGATTTTTTCTGGCATAGAGTCATCTCGTTACCCGGAAATCTCTCATCCCTGGAAGTGCTCTGCACCAATTATTCCTGCTAATGGAGATATCCCTGTAGTCTACTAACCCCTTGTGTACGGGGTCCCTTCTTAGCTGAATAAAACAGTTTGTCATTAGCCAAATGAAATATTAAAATTATATCCCCATAATGAAGGGGTTAAGATTAAGATTAAAGACAAAGATTATTAATATCTTTTAACACCAGACTGTACTTGTTTACTGCTTTCACCCCAGAAGCAGTAATTGAAGGTCTCAAAAATACACACAGTAGGAGACTAGAGGCTGTCATAACAGTCACAATCCAAAGTTTCTTTACCACCCCTGCTGGAGGGATGGTGAAACCAGGGTTGAAGATAAGCCAAACAAACAGACATACACTCGTTCAGTGGTTTGTTAATGAGGCACAATGACGGTGGGGCTCACACACCACCACCTCAACAGTCACTCGGGCAAAACACACAGGTATGGAATATGATTCAAAACATTGACAAGATATGGTATGTTAGTAAGGCTATAATTATTTTATGAATATTAATATATAAAAACAGCACAAAGCATAGTGTATGTCTGTTTGCTTGGCCTTTCTTCAACCTTGGCTTCTTCCCTCCAACAAGAGGGTAAAGAAATATTAGATTGTATGTAAAATGAAAGACAAAAGTCGTGTTGTGAAATTTGGTGAAAACATATGCCGAAGGGCTAAAACTTTTGGTGCATTCTACCTTGTGATACGGCTCTCATAATGTTTCAAGAGTTACCGGTATATTTAGTCTTCGGACAAAACTACGACAGAACTTTTATCTTTGATTGTACATGGTTAAAAGCCAACAGAGGCTGTCATAATACAGAACCTGTTTTAACAGGCAACAGAGGCTGTCATAATACATGTTTTAACAGGCAACAGAGGCTGTCATAATACATGTCTTAACAGGCAACAGAGGCTGTCATAATACATGTTTTAACAGGCAACAGAGGCTGTCATAATACAGTACATGTTTTAACAGGCAAAAGAGGCTGTCATAATACATGTTTTAACAGGCAACAGAGGCTGTCATAATACATGTTTTAACAGACAACAGAGGCTGTCATAATACATGTTTTAACAGGCAACAGAGGCTGTCATAATACATGTTTTAACAGGCAACAGAGGCTGTCATAATACATGTTTTAACAGGCAACAGAGGCTGTCATAACACATGTAACAGGCAACAGAGGCTGTCATAACACATGTTTTAACAGGCAAAAGAGGCTGTCATAATACATGTTTTAACAGGCAACAGAGGCTGTCATAATACAGTACATGTTTTAACAGGCAAAAGAGCCTGTCATAATACATGTTTTAACAGGCAAAAGAGCCTGTCATAATACATGTTTTAACATGCAATAGAGGCTGTCATAATACAGTACATGTTTTAACAGGCAAAAGAGCCTGTCATAATACAGTACATGTTTTAACAGGCAAAAGAGCCTGTCATAATACATGTTTTAACATGCAATAGAGGCTGTCATAATACAGTACATGTTTTAACAGGCAAAAGAGCCTGTCATAATACATGTTTTAACAGGCAAAAGAGCCTGTCATAATACATGATTTAACATGCAATAGAGGCTGTCATAATACATGTTTCAACAGGCAACAGAGGCTGTCATAATACATGTTTCAACAGGCAACAGAGGCTGTCATAATACATGTTTTAACAGGCAACAGAGGCTGTCATAATACATGTTTTAACATGCAATAGAGGCTGTCATAATACATGTTTTAACAGGCAACAGAGGCTGTCATAATACATGATTTAACATGCAATAGAGGCTGTCATAATACATGTTTCAACAGGCAACAGAGGCTGGGTAATACATGTTTCAACGAGCAACAGAGGCTGTCATAATACATATTTTTAACAGGCAACAGAGGCTGTCATAATACATGTTTTAACATGCAATAGAACTGTCATAATACACATGTTTTAACAGAGCAACAGAGGCTGTCATAATACATGTTTTAACATGCAATAGAGCTGTCATAATACATGTTTTAACAGGCAACAAGGCTGTCATAATACATGTTTTGTATGAGCAACAGAGGCTGTCATAATACATGTTTTAACAGGCAACAGAGGCTGTCATAATACATGTTTTAACAGGCAACAGAGGCTGTCATAATACATGTTTTAACAGACAACAGAGGCTGTCATAATACATGTTTTAACAGGCAAAAGAGCCTGTCATAATACATGTTTTAACAGGCAACAGAGGCTGTCATAATACATGTTTTAACAGGCAACAGAGGCTGTCATAATACAGTACATGTTTAAACAGGCAACAGAGGCTGTCATAATACATGTCTTAACAGGCAACAGAGGCTGTCATAATGAGTACAAGTTTTAACAGGCAACAGAGGCTGTCATAACATATTTTAACAGGCAACAAGGGCTGTCATAATACAGTACATGTTTAAACAAACAACAGAGGCTGTCATAATACATATTTTAACAGGCAACAGGGCTGTCATAATACATATTTAACAGGAAACAGAGCATAATACATGTAACAGACAGGGGCTGTCAAAATACATGTCCTAACAGGCAACAGAGGCTGTCATAATACAGTACATGTTTTAACAGGCAAGAGGCTGTCATAATACATGTTTTAACAGGCACACAGGGCTGTCATAATACATGTCATAACAGGCAACAGAGGCTGTCATAATACATGTCTTAACAGGCAACAGGGCTGTCAAAACATGTATAACAGGCAACAGAGCTGTCATAACATGTTTTAACAGGCAACAGAGGCTGTCATATCATTACATGTTTTAACAGGCAACAGGGCTCTACAATACAGTACATGTTTTAACAGGCAACAGAGGCTGTCATAATACAGTACATGTTTTAACAGGCAACAGAGGCTGTCATAACTTGTTTTTAACAGGCAACAGAGGCTGTCATAATACATGTCATAACAGGCAACAAGTGTCATAATACATGTTTTAACAGGCAACAGAGGCTGTCATAATACATGTCATAACAGGCAACAGAGGCTGTCATAATACATGTCATAACAGGCAACAGAGGCTGTCATAATACATGTTTAACAGGCAACAGAGGCTTACAATAAAATTACCTGTTTTAACAGGCAACAGAGGCTGTCATAATACATGTTTTAACAGGCAACAGGCTGTCATAATACATGTCATAACAGGCAACAAGGCTGTCATAATACATGTTAACAGACAACAGAGGCTGTCATAATACATGTTTAACAGGCAACAGAGGCTGTCATAATACATGTCATAACAGGCAACAGAGGCTGTCTAATCATATCGTAACAGGAACAGAGGCTGTCATAATACATGTTTTAACAGGCAACAGAGGCTGTCATAATACAGTACATGTTTTAACAGGCAACAGAGGCTGTCACAATACAGTACATGTTTTAACAGGCAACAAGGCTGTCACAATACAGTACATGTTTTAACAGGCAA